CGAATAAAGGAAATGTAAAAATTTAAAATTTCGTTTTAGAATGACTACCATTCAAAATATAGATGAAATGCATATAGAAGCGGAAGAACCTCCAAAATTTCAAAGAGCTTTTCACTGCATTCAGTATATGAAAGTTAAGTATTCACACTAAAGCGTAATTTAAATATTATTTTTTTCCGACGGCTTTGCAGTCATTTTATCGGTCATAGCTTTACCAGTCCTTTAAAAATCCGAATCAAACACAGTTGAAAGCTAGTGCATTGATCCGTCATGCCTTTACAGCTATCGAAGAAAAGAAAAAATTCTCCAGGTTTTCTTCACCAGTAGGGTTTACACTACCCCACGATTTTCCTCTTCGTTGCCTCTTAAACGTTATTTGATGTTCATTCTTTGCGTACGTATGGACGTACGGACAATCACGTGTCAACTAAAATTTTTTTAGCTCTATGAGTTATCATTTTTTTTTTTTAAGTATATGACTGCGCTCGTGCGCCTTCTGGGGGCACGAGCTCCGCTGTTAATATGTATTATAAAAATCAAAATGCACACAGCTGGTGGTTATGAACAACTAATAACATTAAAGTACACTCTGTAATTTGTTTTGTTGGCTACATCTCGTGGCAATGTGAATAACAATGCATGATTTATATTTTTATGTATGTATTACACAAACGACAGTGAAATGTCAGTGTCCTTTCAGTCAATAGAATTATACCAGAAATACACGTAAACACAGCTCTGGCCGTGGTTGTTTACCTCACTGCAATCACCAAGGTCTTGTCCATACCATAACTGAAACTCCTGGTTCACTGAAACTGGCACAGCCTCAGAGCTCATATTAAATATGATTTCTGGCGAGACATCGTCGACGTTATCAAGGCGGTAGGTGTATTCAGTAGCGCAGACCGCATAATTGAAAGGCTTTGCCATCTGAGCTGTGCGTCTAGACGGCAGAAACATGCTCTTGTTTGAATACGTGATTATTGTCATAAGCGTCTTATCCCTATAACTAGGTCTTTCACAGCCCCAGTACGATCTCGTACTTTTTTTCGTGGCAAACAAGGATACCTGATGTGTGAAC